AACAAACCCTACAATTAGTAGAAATAAAGCTATTGTATTGGCTTCGTTATGTTTGTGACACTTTTGTGATCTTGACTCTAGATTCTAGAGCCACAGGAAGAACGAACTTACAAATTTGTTAAATTTGAATTTCCTAATACCTAATACCCAACAACAGGTTGAATTTTTAGATGTTTTAGTAGAAAGAAAATCGAAGAAAAAACTTTTGACACGGGGTATAACGAAAATTAACTGCGACAGGGATGTATATTGTCCCCATTATTGTTCAATACATACTCAGAACACATTATGAACCTAGCGCTAATGGACGTAGACGAGGGAATACTTATAAACGGAGAATGATTGAACAACATAAGATACGTTGGTGATACTGTCATCTTTGCAGACAGTCTTGAAGGTCTGCAGACACTTGTCTCCAGGGTGGCAGAAGTAAGTAGCAGGTGTGGGCTTTATTTTAATATAAAAAAACCAAATACATAGTTATAAGCAAAAATAGGATACCATCTGGTCAATTACTATACTACGTTCCACGTTTAGAAAATAACATTGCGGAGATAGGGCCATGTATTTCTTATGGACGATAGCAACGCGGCGTTGCCACGACACACACAAGCACAATTTAGGGTTGTATAATTTGTATTTTCGTTTCCACAAACATGATTTAAATTAATGTTTTTTAACGTAATTGACCAAAAGTGCCCGTTCGAAATAAGAGATGAAAAGTAGGGAAAATGATTTTAATTAGATAAATAGTATTTACAAAAGATAATTTTATTTTATCTTACTTTAATTATAGTAACGACAGTTTATTTGTTTTTCGGTGAGAATACGATATGCCATGAATCATATAAATCAGTAGAAAATATTGACCGCTTGGAATGTGTATATCTAATTACTAATTGCAACTTAAAATAATACGACGTGCGTATGTCAGCTATTTTATGTCGTCTCTGACTACATAATGATAATAAAACTTTTATTTAGTAGTTATTCTGACTTTTACAGTTAAATGTTAATTGAAAATGAAAATTCAAATATTAAGCAAAGGGAATATCTTGGACGTCCGTGCAAAAGAGAGTGTCTGAGAGTTTTGGCAACACTGATCTCCATAAGCGTAATGTTATTTTCTTAACTTGAAACAAAGAATAGTTAACCAACAACCTATAACACAAATCACCAACTTTTGTTATCTGGGTGTAAACTTAAATGAGCAGTGGGATCAATCGACGGAAATTAAGATAAGGATCGAGAAGGCAAGATCAGCTTTCGTCAAAATGAAAAAAATCTTTAACTAGAAATAAAAATTCGTTTACTAAAATGCTACGTGTTCTCAGTTCTTTTATATGGTGTGGAGTCATGGACCTTAACTGAAGCATCAATGAAGAGACTCGAAGCATTTGAGATGTGGTTCGATAGACGCATGTTGAGGATTTCCTGGATAGACAACGAAGAAGTACTACATAGAATGGGTAAAGAGCGCGAACTAGTCGTAACCATAAAACGTCGCAAACTGGAATACCTGGGCCATACATTGCGCCATAAACAACGATATGATCTACTTCGTACCATACTTCAAGGTAAAATGCATGGGAAAAGAGGTCCAGTACGAAGAAGAATATCCTTGCTGCATAACCTGCGAAAATGGTTTACCTTATCCACTACCGGACTTTTTGGGGCAGCAGTCAGCAAAGCCAGAATAGCCATGTTAGTGTTCAACATCCGTAACGGATAATCACCATGAGAAGATAACGAAAATTAACGCACACTAAAAATGTTATTTAATATCGATGTATGGTTGTGTGCCTCATGGCATTGTTATTCCTTTGTATATTGGACCGCAGCTACAGCGAATACGGTAAATTCCAGTAGTGAAAAGCTTGAATCGTAGACTTTCGTGTATTGTCTTTGTTGGTTTGAAAATGAACGTATGAACATCGTATTTTGCTAAGATTTTGTCAATACCATCTGTATTCTCTACGCTTTATTTATTCTCGTCACTTCTATAGATTGCCGTTGACGCTTTAGAGAGACCCAAAGTTGACGTATAGACACATACCGTCCATTGGAGCATAAATGTTTTGCCATAACGCTTTTTGTACATGTTTTTCATGTAGACGATGTAGACGAACAGAAATTCGTCTACAAAATATTAAACTCATATATTCGAATAAAATGATTTGTTAAGGCTTTTATAACTCCTTTAGTTTGTTGACGATGGTGATTCGGATTATTGTCCAAAGAGTGACGAGCATGCATTTGTTTTTAGTATACCGTGTGAAAAGCAACTCGAATCATTAACCTAAACAACAGAGAGGAATCACAAAAACATTAGCAGAGTGTGCTACTCAAATGTAAATCTAAATATTATTGGGAAACAATATTGGGACAGAACGGTTATGCTCCAAGAGATATCAAGCGATATATATGCCGAAAAACAGTTTAACGCAACATTGACCAACTTCAAGAACCAAAAGGTAAACATTTCTTGCCGTATGTTAAAATGTTACAGACCGAAACACCAAAATCTTAAGTCAAGTGCATATTCAAACCAAGGAAAATGATACAGGAAACTCTAAGATCGGTCCAAGATCCAAAATCCAAGAGAACCGTTATGAACTCGAGAAATTTACTTCATTTCCTTGCATTTGTGATTCAGTGTATATTAAAACAACAAAACGTAGTGTAAAGATTCAGTTGACTTAACACAAAGATAACTTGTATTGGTCGATGTGAAAAATCAGCCGTGTAAGAACACACGAGACCACATATAGCGCATATATTCAAGAAAGATCATCAGTGATTGATTGAAACGATACGAGGCTGCAGCAAATAATTCCCAAGCAGCACTTGTAAACCCCGATAAAAATGTACTTTTGACTAGAAACAATCGTGATATTTAATTAACAACATAATTTTATAGTATTCTTAGAAGATAAGGAAGATTATTAACTTAGAAAACCCTTATCACAAATATATTATTTATTCATGCAATCGTATTATTGTCTACTCTATATGAAATTCTTTATTCTTTAAATACTTAAGAGCTAAAGTTCTACTTGTTAAATCAAGTATTGATGTTTAGCTGTTTTCTTTTATATAAATTTACAATCTTTCACAAAAACACTCAGAAAATTTTCAATACTCAGCCGAACACTTTTTATCAAGAGAAATAGTTTGTTACCTATATAAAAGGTATTCATATTAAAAGTTGATCCAATGAACAACCATACTCAGGTTATGTTAATCATATACAAAGAATCAAAATACTAGCCAAAATATCAAAACTGAATTCAGAATGAGAATTAATTCCAGATCTAAATAAAAAGTTAAGACTTTATTATGTTTTACAGGGTTTAAAGCTTGTTAGTCTGCCGCCGTCTATATTGCCATGATAGAATATGCAGACGGTGCTTTCTAATTATAGTATTTTTTAATTATGTGCTACAATATATGAAAACACGAAGTCAATTTGCTCAAACAAAAAACTCTGTATATTTTTGAGGTATCTAAAACGTTACACTTTTGCACAAGTTACATTGTTTTTGCACGTTTGCTCCAAATGCTCTCACACAGCGATGCTTGGACAGCAATCCAAGAGATATACACCTGTTTCATAGATTTCGAAAAGACTTTTGACAGAGTACGCCATGATTTACCAAAGATATGGTTGTGTAAGAGCAAAGGCATAGATGATAAAGATTTGAGAATATTCCTGTATTTATATTGGAATCAGCGAGCAAATATAAGAATAGGCGATAAAGTTTCAGACGTAATATGAGTAACACGGGGAGTTAGACAAGGTTGTATTGTTGCACTACTGTTAAAGTCTATAGTGGGTACATTTGCCAGGAAGTTTTATCAAATGCAAATGAAGGAATAATCGACATTGGGGAAGTGCTAAATAACATTAGATATGCAGACAATTCTGTGCTGTTGGCAAGAACATCGAAAGTGATTCAACTTCTACTAGAGAACATGAATAAAGCATGAAATAATTACGGTATAACACTCTAATCCAAACGGTGAATAATTACAAATAAATGGAAGCTATGATAAACGAGACAACTGATCAAAATATCGAAATCAAAAGATGAATTGAAATTGCTAGGTCCGTTTTCATATAAATCCAGAACTTGAAGGACAGAACGCAGAATGAATAAAAGTGTACATAAATGCAACCGATAGAGAACTTTTAAGTAGTAGTTAAAAACGTAAAATATGTTATCTAGTATCGCGAAAGTTATATAACATACGTCTAATAATGATAGGATAGAGGAAATATTGAGAAGAGGAAGAAAATTATCGTGGCATAACAATGTAAGAGATTGAACAGGCACTGATACACATTCGTTACTAAGAACAGAACTAGACGGTTATAATTTTCGTCATGAAGGTGAACCTTAGTAAAGAAGAGGAAAAATTTTAATTTTTTACAGTACAATTTGAATACACGAATTATACGACACATTTGTAATCTGAAAACACAATTTAACTAAATTGATTTCTTAAATTAGATTAAACAATGTGATAAACTGAGATGATGATGAGAAAAAATTATATAAATAAACCACAATGATCATCAGTGTTCAATTTGCGACAACCAAACTTGTTTAATATACTTATCAAATTTCAACTAGATGGACTGTGATCTAATTTACTACGGAAGAATAATTTTTCAAAATTGATGGTTTTTGTTTCCAAATTTTCCAAAGTTGATGACATTTAAAGGTTCTAGTTTTAATTAATATGCAAAATTTGCATATCTTTACTCACAACTTAGACGAAATTAACAGTATTTATAAACATCCACAAACGTGTTAGAATTTTTTACTTGACAAAGTTCATTAATCCTAAACGTTCATTAATACTAAAAATTTAGAACAGTGGTTTAGATATTATTTACTAAATAATATTTCATTATAAATTAAAAATTATATGTATATTGTTCATTCAACTTTTAATATGATTTGGAAACGGCATCAGTAAAATACGAACTAGAACTAACACATAGTTTCCGACTGCATATGGAGACTACCTTTCGATTCAGCTGATGGAAGTACTTCTCGTAGGACCGTAGGTAACTGAGAAGAATCTATAACGATCGATGGTCGTTGCGGCATCGGTGGTTGATTAATAGCTGCTGCATTATCGCTAGATTCAGTTGAATCTTGCCGTTCTGTGGATGAACTGCTAGAGCCTACACCCAAGAAAGAAAGAGCAATGGTAATGAAATGAATAGAAGAAAATGATGATTTAGTTTGTAGATATTTTAATTCGATATGTATTCTGAGACACTCGTTTACTTATTAAAAAATATTAATTTATTAAATATAGTTGAACGGACTGTTTAAATGGTTACGAATTAAAATGTTTAGTATCATGTATATATATATATATATATATATATATATATATATATATATATATATATATATATATATATATATATATATATATATATACTCACTATTTAAACACGAGATTTAACCCGTTAAAGGAATAATGTAGAGTCTCAAAAAATTAGTAAAAAATGTGTATTTTTTTACGGACGCTGAAACATTTAATAGAAAAGACAAATTGTTATTATATATCTCTCTTTATCTGTTTTGTAAAATTTGAAAAGGCCTTTATTAGTTTTCATTATTGTAGTGAAGCGTAGTGTGCCGAATAGACAACAACATGACGTATTGATTGTCTTAGTGTGTCATGACTACTATCGATTATTGACAGACTTGGTTTCATGTTCTGCCACTCAAAACGTTGCTTGTTTTTATTGCCTTAGATTCTTAAACACGAGGTGGTAGCCTTTTATCAGAGAATGTTATGTGTTATGAATTTTGGCTCAAATTATCATTTCTAGAGTTTCTCACTTCTCCACCACAACGTCTACGTTTTTTGGGTCATCACCTCAACCTCTTTTTTTATTTCTAACTCACCAGGCAGTCTTTACTAGTCTATCGTTCTTACTAATTATCAGAACCATCTTAGTTGCTGCTTTCCGTTTACTTTATTATAGATTAAAACTGAGCTACTCTTCTGAGCAACTCACATATTTGGTTGTGTCGCGTTATGATAATTTTCAATTAGGGAGGTAAGTAAAAAATATGGTAAGTTGTTCAAGAAAAATGCATTGGTTTCTTCATAATTCACGCTGAAATTTTCAATTTTGGAGTTTGACGAAGAAGATCCCACTTTCAATAAGCTATTTGTCCGCTTGTAATGGGGCCACTTTATCCTGGACCGTCGACTTTATACCTGGAAAAGTCCTGGAGATAGATTTAGAAATCAAATAGATTACGTCCTCACCAATATTCGCTGGAGATCGTCCATTCAAACAGTCAGATCATATCCAGGGGCGATATGCGGATCCGATCATACTCTCCTCGTAGCTAAAGTAATGCTTAAACTTAAAGCACCCAACAAACAAAGAGAGATAAAGAGGATAGAACTGAGAAAGAAAGAAGACCTTCTACAGGAAGTACAGAAAAGTATGCCCTCTACTCGTAACGGAACATCACAAGAAATATGGGAGACTGTTAAACATTGCGTAAGAACACCAGTGGATAGCTCAAAGAAAAATAATCCGGTGAAACGGAAACACTGGATAACAGATGAAACTCTTAAAATAATTGAGAATAGAAGAAATCTTTGTAAAAGTGGTGTACATAGTGAAAGGGAAAAAGCTAGTTTAAGAAACCTCAATAAAGAAATAAAACGAAGATGTAAGGCCGACAAAAAACAGTACTATCAAAGTATATGCAAAGAAATTGAGAGACATGGTCAGAATAATCAGCCGAAAGATCTATTTAGAAAAATACGCTACCTAACAAGAGACTTCAGAGCCAGAACTTGGACCATTGAAGATAACACTGGAACCCTGATAACAAACAGAGAAGACATAGCAGAGACATGGAGATCGTATTGCAGGGACCTATATAAAGATGATCAACGCCAAGAGCTTGTTAGCCAAATCTCTGACGAGGTGGAAGAAGAACCTGATATACTCGAAAATGAAGTAAGACAGGATATCAACAAGCTCAAATAAAACAAAGCACCAGGTCCAGATATGATAACAGCAGAAATGCTTAAAGCCACAGAAGAAACCGGCGTAAAGTTACTTCATCTACTCTGTAACCAAATATGCCATTCCAAACAATGGCCTGAAGACTGGACAAAATCTACAATAACGACCATACATAAAAAAAGCAGCTTCCACAAATGCGACAATTATAGAACTATCTTTCTTATATCCCATGCCAGCAAGATAATGCTACATATAATCAATGAGAGACTGAAAACATTCCTTCAAAGAGAAATTCCACAAGAGCAAACTGGATTTACCAAAGGTAGAGGCACTCGAGAACACCTGCTGAATATAAGACAGATAATCGAGAAAACTAGGGAATTCAACATCCCACTGTACATCTGTGTTATAGATTACCGTAAAGCGTTCGACAGGGTCAAGTGGAGACACTTATGGCGAATACTAAAAGAAGTAGGCGTACCACAACATCTAATTACGCTTATAACCGAACTATATGAACACACTACTGGATCAGTTAAAGTACTTGACACACTTTCGAATGAATTTCATCCAGAACGGGGTGTATACTATCTCCACAATTATTCAACATATATGGGGAGTATATTATGCGAAGAGCACTTGAAGGATGGGAAAAGGGCATCTCAATAAATGGTCATAAACTAAACAACCTACGTTTCGCAGATGACACAGCCCTTCTTGCAAATAGTCAAGCAGAGCTGATAGAACTTATACGACTGATCGAAAACGAAAGTCAAATATTTGGTCTGCAATTAAACATATCAAAGGCAAAGATCATGATAGTGGATAGACTACACAACAACCATCCGCACATAACCACAATTGACCGGTTCGAGGTTGTGAGCTCATACTTATATCTGGGATCATTAATCACAAACACAGGGTCATTACAAGAAGAGATTAAACGTAGATCTGATCTAGCAAAAGTTGCCACAGCAAAAATGACCAAAATATGGAAGGACTGTCAAATTTCAAGAGCGATAAAGATGAGGTTGATCAACTGCTTAATATTCTCAATACTGACCTACGGATGTGAATCTTGGACTCTGAGACAATCGGAGAGAAGAAAGATAGACGCCACTGAAATGTTCTGTTGGAGACGAATGTTACGAATTCCTTGGACCGACCGCAGAACAAATAATTCAATTTTAAGAGAGCTAAAAGTTAGCCAACGACTCTCTAGTAAAGTCCATCTCCAACAATTAAAATATTTTGGGCATGTTATGAGAGCAAACACAGAAAACATGGAAAGACTCATAATACAAGGAAAGGTAGAAGGCCAAAGACCACGAGGAAGATCCCCAACAAGATGGATAGATCAAATTACAGGAATATGCCAAAGACCTATGCATGAATTAAAAGAAATGACCAGAGACAGAGTTCTCTGGAGACGGACAATACACGACATCACGTCGACCACTACACTCCCCCTGGGGGGTCAGGATTGAAGAGAGAGAATGGGGCCATGGACCTATTCTCGGAGCCAAAAAGCTATTCGAAAAGCTCAAGTAAAATGCTAACCTAAAAGAGAAAAGACGAAAAAATAACCATTGAAACAAAGCAACTAATGGAAACTAGAAGATAAATCAAAGGAAATGAAAGCATTGACGAAAAAAACTACGAAAAATAAATAAAGAAGTATCAAAAGCTATAATGAAAGATTTAAGAAAATTTAAGAATGAAAAGGCCCTCCGAACTATAATAGGAGAGAATAAAAGTCTGAAAGTCTTGAGAAGACAGCTAAACAATGGAAAATATGAAATACACAAACCAAAGAACAAAGAAGGAGTCCCCATAAAAAATAGAAAAGAACTACTACACATAGTTAAAGACTTCTATCAAGAACTATACACAAGTCAAAGAGAAGACCAAACGAACTTAGAAACCGCCGCGTCAAGCAAAATTATCAACTAGGGTTCAGAGCTTATGCCAGTAATCACACTAAGCCAAATCCAAGAAAAAGATGAAAAACAACAGAGCACAAGGAACAGATGGAGTCTGTTGGAACAGATGGAGTCTCTCTTCACTGAGGAACAGATGGAACGGATGGAGTTGTAATAGAAGCTGTAAAGATGGGCGGACGTGCTCTTCTCAATCAAATTCAGCTTATTGAACCACATCTATAAAATGTTAACCAGAATAATTACGACAAGACTAGAAAAAAGCTGGATTTCTACCAGCCCTGAGAGCAAGCTGGCTTCCGCTCAAAAGTCGAAATAAACGATAATCTACAAACAATCAAAACCTTAATAGGTAACCGAAAAATCGATAGAATATAACAGATCACTGGTACTTATCTTCGTAGACTTTCACAAAGCCTTCAATTCCGTGGAATTATACAGCCTTATAACTGCTCTGAACAATAGTAGAATAGACTGCCGGCTTACAAAGTTGGTACATTGTACCAAAACGACACAATTCGTGTAAAACTACATGATACCACCAGAGAAATTCATATAAAGCGAGGTGTGAGACAGGGCGACACTCTCTCACCTAAATTATTTATAACGGTAAAAGTACATAATATCTCGGTCATGAAATCAGAATAAGCAAGGATAATCGGACCTGTGAATTTCAACGACGAATAACCCTGGCTTGGGCGGCGTATGGTTCTCTAAAAAACATCTTTACGAGCAACATCCCGATAGCTATGAAACGGAAGACATTTGACCAATGCGTTCTTCTTATTATGACATACGGAGCAGAAACCCTCACTCTCACAAAAACAACAGCACTAAAAATACGAGTGGCACAAAGGCGCATGGAAAGATCGATTCTCGGCGTGACAAAACAAAAAGACAAAATAAGAAACCAAGACCTAAGGAAAAGAACAGGTATCACTGATGTCGTCGAACGTATAGCCAAGCTGAAATGGAATTGGGCAGGTCACGCAGCAAGACCAAAGACTCAAGATGGACCAGAAAACTAATTGACTGGCGCTAAAGAGAAGACAAACGCAGCAGACGATGACCACCAACACGCTGGATGGACGAAATTAAACGAATATCCAAGAAATGGCAACAAGACGTACAAACCGTAAAGAGTGGCGAAAAATAGGAGAGACCTATATCCAGCAGTGGACAGAAGAGGTTGCATGATGATGATGAATGGGGTCACGGACAGCATACAACCAC